CCCAGATACCCTCCCCGGGGCCTGGCTCAGACCAAGGTCCAGCTGCAGAGCTGCCTCTGGGGCCCCAAAAGGCAAAGGGCCATGAGCCGGGCACGCACTGGGCCAAACCCGGACCAGCACCCCAGGCCTGCTGTCCTCGGGGGGGTCCCAACACCGTGCCCAGGATGCAGCTCACCGCCCCAGCGAGGTTGCGCCGTGCGAAGGCGCAGGAGCTGCGCGAGGGGCGGGCCAGTGACCCCCGCTGTGGGACGCCCTCCTCCGCCCTGCGCTGGAGGCAGAGCCTTGCTCTGGGTGTCGGGGGACCACTGAGCCCAGGGGGCCGGTGCTCCCCGCCCGGGGGCTGCACACGAGCTCCTCTGCCCTCCTGGCAGGGCCCTGCCTGGTGCTGGATCGCGACCCCCCGCCCGGGCGTGGGCTGGAGGCAGACCCGCCTGCAGCACCCCCTCTCCCAGCCCTGGTCCAAGGCAGAAAGAAAGTGGCACGGCCCCTCTGCCCATAAGGGAGCCTTGCTCCTGCCCTGGGCCTGCGTCCGAGAGCCGGGGATCCCTGCAGGGAGCCGGGACCTGCCTCTCGCTGGGGAAGGACCCCCGGGACCCCTGCTCGACTGCAGACCCGCCCGGCTCTGGGGGCGCTGCTTGACCCCCAGGCAGAGGCAGGGCTCTGCACCAAGCCTGCCCCTGCCCTCACCTGCCCAGGCTCTGCCCAGAGGCCTGGGTGCAGCAAGACCTTGCTCCTGGGCTGCGAGGAGCTCAGCGGCCCGCTGTGAAGGCGGCACCTTGCCAGGCACTAATTGCAGCCCTGGCTGCAGCCTGTGCCTCGTTGAGGCTCTGCGCGGCTCGCTGGCCCTTCAATGGAGGCTGCTGCAGCCGGGCCTGGTTAGGCACTAATTGCAGCCCTGGGTTCAAGCCCTGGGAGAAGCTGGGCTCCCTGGGGGTTGCTCCTGCCCCTGCCTGCTCGGCACTAAGTGCATTCCCCCCCACTTGTTGCAGCCCTGGCTGAAGGCTCAAGGCGTGCAATGGGCTCACCTGAGCCGAAGCTCACCTCGCCTCTGGGCCTGGCCCCAGCTCCTCCTGCCCCGGCTCCAGCGGGGCTCTCTGCCCTCTGCATGAGCTCCCTGCCTTGGGGCAGGGGGTGCAAGGCCGGGGTGCGGGGTGGCAGTGGGGTTAGAGGATCAGCTTTGACGCCGCACTCTGGCGCACAGCAGCGGTGCACCCCGCTTCTCTTCCAACTCACCCAGACATTGTCTGAGCTGCTAAGTGGAGCCGGGACTGTCACCAGGTCGGAGGCCTGGGCTGTATGGCAGGGGGTGGCAGAGGCAGGGCAGGGTCTCCCACTCAGGTGGGGAACAAAGCACAGAAGAGACAAGCCCAGGGCCCCCCAAGCGTGTCGGTGTCGGAGCCCAGCTCCTCAGCCCCGCGCAGCAGTCCCCTGCTCATCCCCCCCCGGCTCCCCACACCACCGGGTGGGAATAAAGACACCGCCCCCAGCTTCCTATTTACACCGCTTTACTTTTAATTTTAATACTGTCCAGAGTCCCAGTAAAATAACATCCTTAGTACATACATACAGCGGAGGGCAGGGGCGAGGGGAAACCAGTAGCAAAAAAAACCCAGGACACCTCAAAACCCAGCACGTTTCTCAACAGAAGAGGACAGAAGCCAACGGGCACACGGAGAAGGAGGGTCTAGGCTAAGGGGAAGCGTGGCCATGGCAAGGGCCGGGGCGGTTGGGGAGGCTCTTAAACCTGTGGCTACAGGAAAAAAAAAAAAGGTGAGGTAATGCAGTCTTCCCCTGTTGCTACAGCGGGTTGTACCCTGAATTCGTGGGATGGTACGTGGGGCTCTGGTGCCCGCTCGTGGTGTGGTCGTGCCCATATCGCTGCACCGTCCTCATCAGGCCCTTGAAACCTGGATCTTCTCCGGCTCAGATCTTGCAGCTGCAACAGCATCGACCCCGCTGCACGCGTCAGCTCCCAGGGTGCAGCCGTGGCCGAGCCCACGAGGCTGGGATGGCGTGCTCCTCCGTGCCGCCCCTGCCCGGGAGAGGGGAGCCGAGCTGGTGGAGGCCCCGGAGCGATGCCGGGATCAAGGCTGCGGTGTGATAGGGCTGAGGTCAGCCGCCCGGCGAGGCTGGGACAGGAGGCTGAGGCTGGCAGCAGCTCGTGGCACGGCGCCGCGTGTCCTCGCTGCAGCTAAAAAGAACGGCAGCGCCAGCTTGGACGGAGGGGCAGTGAAGGTGGGGGGGATTGAGAGAGAGAGAGAGGAGCCCAAGTGGGGAAAGTCAGTGGGTGGTGCCTCAATCACTTGGCCCAGCCGATCTGGAACAAGATCCAACCGTGGCCTGTCCAGGATTGGGTCCGTGGGCAGGCCAGAATCGGGTCGCTCACGGAGCCCTGCCCTGCTGCTGCACCCATTGCTACGCCAGGTAATGCCCTGTCCTTGCTGCTCCCCTCTGCACCCCTGCACCAGGGTCCGGACTAAAAATCCCAGGGCTGGGGGTCCAGACCCCACCGGATCCGGGTGCTGCCGAGCCCCCCAGGGCAGGCGCCCACATCCCGCAAGCCTGGGCTGGCACCTAAGGGATCGCTGCATCCGCAACAGAGGTAGGGTCCACCCCGCTGACGGCGGGGAGATGGCACGGCCGGCCTGGGGCGAAGGGGGTCACCTGGATACAGCCGCTCAGGACCCCGACTCACGCAGACCTCCAGTGGCTGGTGGGGTCTGGGTGGTGAGCACCGGGTGGGGGAGCCCAGTTCTCAGTGGACTCGTGTCCCCAAATCAAGAGCCTGGGGCTGGGACCCCGTCAGCACCAGGGGACAAGGGGAAGCACCTGGGCCAGGGCACTGCCAGCTGCCGCAGCGACTTGTGCCACACCTGAGTCCCTCGAGGCCCCTTTGCCTCTTGCCGGGAGGCTGCTGAGCTCCGGGGGCTTGGGATTTGCCAGGGGAAAAAAACCAGCAACAGGAACGAGCCAGAAAAAATGCTCCCGGCATTGCTCCGCTCTGGCGTGGATGCCTCCCCCCGGCCAGCACCGGCGTTTCAACTGAGACCCAAAATTGAAGTGGGGGAAGAGGGAAAAACCTTGGAAAGCTTCAGAGAGAAAGAAAAGCCTCAGTTTGTCATAAATAAAGGAAGGTTTCACCCCAAACCCTGGGCAATGCAGGGGCCTGAGGCCCCCGAGCAAGACTGAGCTGTATGAGCCTGAACGCCCCCTTGGTTTAGGAGATTTAGGGGCCGAAGCAAGGTGCAAACATGGCATTTCCAAGGGCCTGGAGCTGGGTGCTTGGGAGGACTGCTCCAGAAGAGCCTTCCCCGTCTGCCTTCCTCCCACTCGTTGCCACCCCAGGCAGTCACCTAAATCACTTTGGAGAGGGTTCCCTCTACAGCCGGGCACCTTCAAGCCCCACCTCTGCTTTAGTTAGTCTATAAGGTGCCTTCTGCCTGACCTGGGAGTGACAAGCGCTCGCGGCTCCCGGGAGCTGGCTGCCCGGCCAAGCTGCCTGCGGTGCCGCTGAGCCTCTCCCAGTCCTTAGTCCTCGTCTTCCCGGAAGGGGCACGCGTGCAAGGGCCCAGAGGCTGCTCCGTGCAAGGGGCTTGGTGGCTTCAGAGAGGAGAGGAGAGCGGCGGCCGCGTCCCACGGGCAGGGGGCGAACGGGGCAGCAGCTCTTTGGCGACTGGCCTGATGCTGGTGCCAAATCCGCGGGAGAATCGGCATCAGCAGTCGAAGGGGGAATTGTCCCACAGGGGCCTGAAGCTTCCCAGGGAAGCCAGCACCCCTCTGCCCGTGGGGAGGACCAGGGTGGGGGAGATACCCAGCGAGGTACCCCTGGCCAGTGCCAGGTGCACCCCGGAATCAGCCGCCCTCCTCCCCATCCCTGGCCTGGTCTCTCTTCCTCCTCTTCTCTCATTTCCCCAAGTCCCCCCCTCCCGTGTGCAGCTCCATAACAGTCATCTTCCCCCCAGCGATAATGAAGCGCTGCTCCGCTCCCCCCCAGCGCCGATGCCGCCCAGCGCCAACGAAGCTAGTCATTAACGGATTAGCCCGTCACCATAATTAGGGGCCTGGCGGTGCACACAGCAGATCCCACGAGTCCTTCTGCCTCCCCAAGTGGGGCGTCCGTCCCCCCCACCCCTCTCTCCTCTGCTCTCTCTCTCTCACGGCCTCTCTACTTTGGTCCAGAGGGGAGTTTCCAAAGGCGTCTTTATAACTGAGCTGAGATTATTTATAGACTCGGGTAGTAGTGCCGATAGGTGAGCGAAAGCATGCAGCTGAGACCTAAAGATTAAGGCTTTTGCTTGAAGCGTTCTGGTCCAGTTCCCATCGAAAGAGCCGCGGACCCGGGGCCTTCTGAACATCTCCACCTCCCGGGAGACCTCGGGGGCGAGCGAGGGGAATCGGGGAAGCCCCTCAGTTGCCTCCCCGGGCAGAAAATCCCAATGTGCTTCAGTGAAAGGGTGGAGACAGCCCCCGCGGCATTGCAGAGCCCGGGACGCAGCCGGCGGACGTTGGCTGATGGCTGCTTCCGAGTTCGTGGACAACGGGAGCTCGGCTGAGCATGGGAGAGGCGCCATCCCAGCACCCAGGGTCCAGCAATGCAAGCGGCTCCAGCCTTGCTGGACAAGCCTTCAGCAGGGCCAACCCCGCGGGGAAGCAGCCAGCAGCAGAGCTGTCCAGAGCATGGAGGGGTCAGGCCTCAGCAGGTCCGTCCCCGCGCCACCCCGACGCTGCAGGGTCACAGAAGAGGGAGAGCGCGTGGAGGCTCCCGCACTGCGAACGGCCCCTTGCTGTGCTCCAAGGATCTCGTGCGTCTTCTCCCCCAAAACAAAACGGACCCAACTGTCCCGGCCAACAGTCACAGCAATGCAAAAGTTCCTCCTTTGTTAGTTGAGCATTGAAACAGCTTCTTCTTGGTTTCCCCTTTCGCTTATGAGCAAGAGCGTTGTTCCCGTGGACGTGCGATAGCCCGGGGGGCTCTGCAGAGCTGCCCCCGTAGCCAGAGACAAGGCAGAGGTTGCATTTCTGGCGGCGGCTCAAGCCTGAATTTTCTCCACGGATTTGTCGCTCACGGTCGGCACCACCATGGGGCTGGGGATGTAGTTGAAGGGAGTCACCCGGGCGGCCCGGCTCGGGGAGCTGTGCCTGCTGGAGGGGAAGTGCCCGACGGAGCCGGCTGGCGCCTCGTGGCTGAAGGAGATGGGCACGGCGCCTTTGCCAGGAGCCAGCCCCTCCGCGTCGCAGCTCTTGGGCATCTCACGGGTCTCGAGGGTGGGGGACGTGCTGGAGTTGGTCTTGGTGGTGGAGAAGTCCTCGGTCTGCACCACGGCGTCGCTGGTTTTCCGCTGGGCGGGGGGCTGGGAGCCCGGGGCGGCCTCCACGGTGTTGACCAGCGGCAGGGCCGAGGAGGGGAGGGTGCTTTTGAGAATGTGCGGGATGTCTTCATCCCGGATCCTTCGCCAGGTGCCTTTCATCATCATCATCTTCTGCTTGTCCGGCTGCCCCGGGCTCCCTGCTGGGCTCCTGGAGGGCAGCGCGGGGGCCTCTTCGTTCTTCCTCCTCTGGGCCAATGCCTCGGAGCAAGGGGACGGGACGGCGGAGGGGCTGCCGGTCCTCTTGATGAGGCTGATGTTGGGGGATGACGAGTAGCGCTTGAAGGGCTCGGGCGGGCGGGCGCCGGCCTTCACGGGCAGCCTGGAGGGGCTCTCGGAGCTGGTTCTCCTTGGCGGCCTCATGCCAGGGGCCGCTTTGCCGTTGGCCGGGGTCCGGGGCACGGCCGGGCGTGGGTTGGGCCCCGCCGGCTTGGCCGCCTTGAGCTCGTCGCACCTGGAGGAGCAGAGGAAGACGGCCGGCAGCCCGGCCCGGCTCCTCTTGGGCGAGGCGCTCTGGGACAGCGAGGACACGGACTCGGAGGACGACAGCTCGGCGCGGTGCCGCAGGACGAGGCTGGACGACTCCTTGATGAAGGTCAGCTGCCGCAGGAAGCCCGAGCGGGCCGACTCGCTGCCCGCACCGGCAGGGGGCTGCGGCTCGACAGCGGCTTCCTGGCCGGCTTCTGCATGAAGGGGATGCGGACGGGCGACTTCTGGGTCTTGTGCTGCTTGCTGCCCGGGGGCTTCTGGGGCGGCGCTCTGGCGGGGGGGCCCGGCGGAGAGATGCCGCCGGCTTTCCCCCCCGGAGAGGGCAGCTGCTTGGCGAGCTGGGAGGGAGACCCCAGCTTCTTCTGGGAGGGCTGGGACGGGGTGGAGGTGCGGGACGAGCCGGAGGAGGGGGCCTTGCCGATCCTGGCCGGGGGGGTGGCGCTGCGCTTGGGCAAGCTCAGCTCCGGCATCTCCGAGGTCTTCCCCAGCCGGTGCAGGCTCCGCGACCGCTGCTGGCTCAGGCTCAGGGCCTTGCCGGGAGCTTCGGGCTTGGAGGCGCCCGTTTTCTTCGGCGTGGCACGGGGGCTGGCCACGTCCTTGGCCGGCTTGGGCATGTAGATGACCGTGCGGCCCCGGAAGACCACCGGCAGGTTGGGCATGGACTTCTGCGGCCCCAGGCTTTTCCTGCCCGCGGCGGCCCGGGCGTCAGCCACCTTCCTGCCCGCCTGGGAGGCCCTGCCGTGCTCTCTCTTCTCTGCCTCCAGGCGCCCTCCGCTCGCCGCCCGCTGCTTGTCCTGCCTGTCCAAGGAGAGCTGCAGGGGGGAGGCG